TCTCAGACCTTTAAATATAAGTGAACCTAGATTTTTTCTCAACTATCAAAATGGAAAGTGCACTAAACAACCTGTGGGAATTAATAAATTCGGAAACGTCCCGAAACAAGTAGCTACATACCTAAAATTAAATACTCCGGAATTATACACAGGGCACTGCTTTCGTAGGTCGTCTGCGACTATACTTGTAGATGCAGGTGGAGATATTACTGCACTTAAGCGTCATGGAGGCTGGAGGTCCACTGCCGTGGCTGAAGAATATATTGAGGAATCTTTGTCGTCCAAAATCTCTGTTGCAGATAAAATACGAGAAGCAGTAAATGGACCTTCAACGTCGGGTTTACAATCTAACATTTCCACAGTCCCCACTTCTACTTTAATTTCCAAAGAATGCAACACCCATATGTTAAATGCAAATGTTTTGAAACACCCGATCAACTTTAACAACTGCACAAATAATCAATTCATATTCAATTTTTATAGTGAAAATTCGAAATAAAGTAACTTTTGTTTCAGTACGTACCTAAGTAGATTTTTGGTTGTAAGGAAAGTCGTAGGAAAAATAGTGTACATGACTCGTTTGAAAGCCATTTTTCACACTCGTGTGATTGCCACACTCGGCTTCGCCTCGTATGGCAAACCTCACATCTCGTGTGAAAAGTTTCGCTTTCAACACTTGTTATGTAATATACTATTTAGCATACCCGGAAATGTAGATGTTACAGTCCGAAGAAAAATGGATCAAAACTTAAAGATTGTAGTGTACTTAACCTCCAGGTTCTAGGCTAACTTCACACTACAAAAACACGAAAATAAAGTCAACCCGGCAACGTTTAAAAATGGGCACACGAATGACCATTCCCTCCAAACCTAAACAATTTCCCGCTTAAATTTGAAAAGTGGCACGTGATCAAACATATAAGGCAGAGCCCCCTTTAGTTGATGTACGTTAATGTAAGCAAAGCCAGACGGATGTCGTACTCTCGCAAAAGTAACTGCCAAGGGTAAAAAGTGTACAACGAAGAAAAACCTTGCAGTTTGATTAAAACAGTCCAAAAGTTAATTAACAAAATATTTTGTAAAAGTTTAAGGAGTAGTTAACAAAGATAGTAAATGCATATGCACAATGTTGGTTACACTCAAGGTTAAAAGCAAGTTTTTAGGGACAATGGGTCAGGTAGGAGCAGGTACCTGAATCCTGAGAAAGGGTGAAGAGTACAGGATGTAACTCGTCTTTGGTGCAATAAAGTCGTTATGTTAAAAACAAGATGGAAAATTACATGGCCTTGTAAGCAAATTCAACTAACCGTAATATGTGGAAATTGTTGAATCGCCACCCATAATACATCACACATAGATTCTAAACCGAAGAGTTTTGATTAGCATAATTTCGCCCCTGCAAGATAGGTAGCGTCGCCCCTCGTTCGGGGTTTCGAGCCTACAGTTGAAAGTCGAAGACAATCACGGAAGGAATTAGGTGTCGTAGCTCAAAAGCAATATAAAAAGATGATAAATACCTGTAGACAAATCACAAAAATTTAACACAAAGCAAAAATGAAAACTGATCAAAAATTCGACTTGCTTCCGCGAAGGACAAAAACAAGATTGTCCCTTTTGCAAATAATAATTCGCATTCTCCTCAACTAAAACGGGAATTTTCTTGCCATCTTCGTCTTTCCATGCGCTTGACACATTTCCCCTCCTTTTCGTCTCGTTTGAAAAATGTAGTATTGTCACGTCTTGAACCGCTTCTGTTTGTTGAATAAGCGCATACAGGGTACTCGCTGTATGTACGGGGTAGGATCCTACAACATTTGAATATATAATCTAATATTTTATTTCCTTATTTGAATCTTTTAAAAATGTGCCTATCTAGTAGGCGTTTTTTATAATTTTGTTCACCAGAAATTTTTCACAATATGTTCCGTACCGATTTTAGCTGTCTAAGATCCCTTGATAACTTCGACGAGTTTCGTTAGTATGATGAGTTTTTCCTGCTCGTACAATTTTAGTTACAAATTTTCTGTGCAGGTAAATTTTGCACTTGAGCCCTAATAGATACTTAGGTGATTTTATGGTACTTAGAAGATAACCCACATACAGGATATATTTTTTCATAACATTTACTCCTCACGTCGCCCCTTCTTTATATTCGTAGATTTTGGTCCATATTGCGAAAAGTATGATATTTTGTGGTGGGAATTTGATTCGCTCGACGATATTTTAGTATTTTTGGTTAAAACGCTTGTTACAAATTTGGGAGAGGATTTTTGTGAAGAAGATACATAAATATAATCCGATTCTTTAATTACATCTTCCTTTCCACCAATTGAAACATTAGGAAGGCCTCGGTGCTTCTTGATTACGATTGCCGTACCCCTGCTGGTTCTCTCCTTCTTCCCTTCACCTATCCACCAGTCGTACTTCCTTGTCGCAGCCATCCCACTTGTTAGTTTGGTTTCTTGTAGACTAGCTACATCTATTTCTTATTTCCTTAATTCGTCGTCAATTAGCTCCCTTTTCCTTGGGTCGCTTCTGTATCTTGGCTCCTATCCTGGTTTTCTCTTCCTGTGGGGCTCTGATGTCACTGGGAATCCTTATTTATCCTGATGCGCTCTAGGATGTACTCGTTTGTGCGTACTTCTCCGGTCATCCTGTTTAGTCTCTGTTGCTACTCGTTAAGAAAAAGTAGTTGAACACTGAAAAGTGAAAAGAGAACGCTGAAAGAGATAACTGAATTGAATTAGATTTGGCACAGTGAGACGTATCTCGTATAATGAATTTGTGTGAAAACGTAATAATTCTATCACTTGCCAGCTCTCGGAATGCACTATTATTGACCTAAGGGTTTCCCCAAGTATACAAAAAAGTCTTGAGAATTTAAATAGCCTGCTTTATGGGTTAGGGTGTTTGTATTTCGCCGATTGACAGGTTTATGTTTCCTTTCAAAAGAGTGTAATTCTAATGTTTCCCGCCTATGTGTATTGCTAACCCGCGATATTCTGATGTCTCGTTTATCTAGATTACCTGGTTAATTGCCCCCCCCCCCCCCGTGACATGCGTCTCTATTCTATCACTAGTTTAACTAGATTAGATAAACTTGACAGTTTTCCAAATGCTATAGCTTTATTTTTTTAATTAATAGCATATGTTAAAATGACATTTTAATAAGTTTGAAGGAGTAGGCTAAGTCGTTCTTTAACCGTGTGGGTAGATAAAGTAATCACTTTAACCATTAGATTGTGCATTCTAATGACATCTGTCATTCTTATTTCAAATGTCACGGGGAGCGTGATACAACATGACGTTCAGAATGTATGACAATTCTGTTTCTATGGAAATGATCGCGACGGTAGAACTTAAGTTTGCTATTTTTGACGTCTAAATTAAATTCAAAATTATCAGAAGCTTTACAATGGTTTATATGGCTTCTGCTACAAAGTAAAGTTTTGTATTATACACGACGATAAAGGGAAACTAACCATCTCGTGAAAATTAATTCACTCGTGATTTGACATCTTTCACTGAATGGTTAAAATATCCCATTATCGTCTTATATAATAAATAATTATTTAATGGAAATCATTTTTTTCCTTGTGCATTAGGATTCTATACAGAAAAAAAGAGTAGTTTGTAATTATGTACATCCCTATGTCCAAAATGAACTAATTTTGTAGATAGGGAAAAGTTCGGCGAAAATTTGTGCAGCTATTGTGGACACTACCCTCAATTTTCGGTGTTAAATCCATTGTTGAACAGACAAAGGGGGGTTTCATTAAAATAATTAAGTTTTCTTAATTCCACATCTGCGAAAATTAGCATGAATTCCGCAGCACACTGTATAAACTTTATAACAATTGCAATTGTTACATAGTGTGTAATGCCTTATTAACCCAAAAAGCATGTGTCATCTGGTTTATAAAAGGAAATTTATTTACTGAAGGTATATTTTTTTAAAAATCGAAAAAACTAAAATTAAAACAACGGTTCCATTTAGTCCTATGGTCATTCAAATTAAGTACATTTGTAAATTAAGGAAATGAGTAAAAGTCAGGGCATCCCATTTAAAATGTTGATCAAATCTCCAATAAGTCTTATACATTCGAAAATATTTTAGCCCAAAATGGGCTTATTGAAAAATGTACACATGTTCAAAGAGCATCTACCTACAAATCCCCAATAAGAAACGGCGACCACAGAAAACATTCTTATCACAGGATCATATAATAAAAAGACTGCACGTCGAGAGAGGCTAATTTATTCCTAAGGTTTTCGGCCGACAGCGTCAAGACTGCCACCTGGCCGTCTCCTCGCAGGGAGGGAAGGAGGCGTTGTAGTTCATGAATCGGTGGTAGATTTCTATGGAACTACGATGCGTCAACGTCTTTCGATCGATGATACCCAGGCGACCTAGGATCTTAACTGTCTCCTTGAGCAATAACCACCTCCTTCCTACCACAATCGGTACAACTTCTGTACCAAGCATCTGCTGGAGGGTCGGTAACAATCGGCTATATTTTCTGAGCTTTTCAGCTCGTTGCTGAGCGAGGTAGTCTATCCTCATGGCGGACCGTCACGTCGAGCACGAAGACGATCCTTCCCTAGGTCAGCAAAATCAGATTCAGTTTGAGATTCTCGCCCGAAGGAAGCCGCACTATCGGCTCCTGAGTTACTGCTACCGATGGCCACTGCTTTTTATCGGCGACATCTGGGCGCCATCCCCGAGCGTTGTTATACTAACCTGGAGATTTTTCTTCTATCTTCTACAGTTTTTCTCCGATTGTTTTCAAATTGGTGCCGTCGGAAAGATCTTGTCAACGCCTGCGTGGTGGAATGTTGTTTTTTTTTCCTAGGGGCGAAATGAACCATCTTTTGCACGGCGCGCTTCGAGGGGTAGTCCACTTTGGGCGTCCAAAGTTTCTTGGAGCTCGAACCGCGGTGTCCCTTTCTCGTGTATGAGAAGTACCCAACAATCGAGTACTATTGTGTGCCGGGTTTTTGGCGAAATCCACCAAAATGCGAATTGCGAGTGAAGTAGGAGATGGGTATCGACAAAGGGAATATGGTAGCCCCCTACAAGATTTTCCTGATGGTGGTGTCAAAACTTCAAACTCGAATCTGCCGTGCTTTGGGGTTGCAGCACCCAGGATGGAGCAGCTGACCGGTAAAACCGCATGCAGTTCCGCCTTGGCCATTGATATGGTTTGTTGCTCCATAGCCTCCAGCATCATCGCCTGAGCTTTCTTGTCCAGTCTGTGGATTTCGTCTATGCAACAGACCCCGCCTGGGCACTGTAGTAAGGCACCCGTGTGCAAGTTCGGCGAGTTGCCCCCAGCGCTCCTAGTTCCGTAGGACAGCCCGAACGCTGTTGTGGAATTACCGTTCACCATGGTAGAGTTGGGCCAGAATTCCGCAATCTGAAATGGTGCAGTTTTACAGTAAGTTTTTCAAGAAGCGTTGCATACATACCCTTCTTAACATTGTAGTTTTCGCCTGACAGGTCTCCCCAACGAGCAGGACGTGCAGGTCACCCCTCAGGCTGATGTCCCCCGTCTTTTTCACCCCTCCCACCAGCATGAGGATGAGCGCTTTCAATTCCATGTCGTACCCGAAGACGGTGGGGAAGATAATTCTTCTTGCCACCTCTAACATGTCGTTGTTTTGGGCCATCTCGTGGATCAACTCAATGGACAGGGGCTCTACCGGCAAAGTGCGCTCCACTGACGACACCAAAAATCGGTAGTCATGAGACATTGCCTTGGGCACCTCGTTGCCGCGCTGATAATGTACGGGGTTGGTTTCAGTTTCGGACGTAGTTTGTATTGCCACACAAATGGGTGTCCCCACAAATATAAAAGTCTCTACAATCTGAAAACCAGTAAGAACAAATTAATATTTGGAACAGTTTAAACTAAGTTAAAATATCTTACCGTCAGATCCACCATGTCCCCCTTCACAATGAATGTTACAATTGCGCGCTGGCTGGTTGGAATTGGTAGAATCCCCAACTCTTGGAAGTCCACGTATGTGGAAGAGTACCGATCGAAGTGGAATAACTTCTTGTTGTTCAGGCATCCAGGGTTTCGGCAAACGGCCGGGTAAGTAAACTAAAAATGAAATGGAGGTGACGATCTTTTTCTTTATTAGGAACATCTTTTTAATTACCATGTACTCCTGCTGATCAACAGTGTTGATAATTCTGCACACTTTGCAAATGAATTTGCCCGTCTCAATTTTGGGATTGACCGGTGTGCTGGAAACTACCGTCCCTGTCACCGCCACCAGGTGCCCCTTGTGTTTCAAGTACGTCTGACGTACCGGGATGGTCGGATTGACACCCTTGAAGGCCAGCCGAACCACGGGGCGCTCCTTTAACAGCACGACAGGGCGCCTTCGGATACGTGTAGGAAGTTAGCGACGAACTATGCGCAGCGACGATGACGTCATAACCATTATGCATATAAACAAAGCGGACATTTACTAGATCATTAATTACGCAAAAAGTATTGTAAACCATAACCTGAGGTAAACAATTTTAGATTCTACATTAAATAAACTATTTAATTTCCAATTTGTATAAAAATATCTCTAAAGATAAAAAAGTTACGAAGCATTTTATTTTTGCTATACGTTTACTTAGACAAAGTGATCATCGTCGACGTAATATTTCGCAAAAAGTATTGTAAACCATAAACTGCGGTAAACAATTTTAGATTCTACATTAAATAAACTATTTCATTTCCAATTTTTATAAAAATATGTCTAAAGATAAAAAAAGTTACGAAGCATTTTATTTTTGCTATACGTTTACTTAGACAAGGTGATGCTCTTACGCAAAAAGCATTGTTTACTATACGCTGCAGTAAACAGTTTTCAGTTTTACATACATAAACTATTTAATTATAATTTTTAAATATTTCAAAAGCTCTACGTCGAATTCTCGTTGTCCTTTCAAACTATTACTAAACCCATGCTGATTTTCAAATCAACAGCAGAGCAAGGTAATAATCCGAAAGTCACTGCATGCAGTGTTGTCAATATGCAATACCAACATTTAAATGTGGCATGGTCAAAATATACCCTTCACCAATAAATATATATGTAGATCCGTAGCGAAACGCTACTGGTCAAACCGCAACCTTCTTAGTCCTACAAGTGGGGTAGCTCTAAAGTGCAAACCCTTTCAGTGGGTGTGAGCCGAAACTCTTGCATAACTCCTACCAGTTGTTGCCCAAAAATGCAGACCCTCTCAGTGGGTGTGAGCCGAAACTCTTGCATAATTCCTAACAGTTGCCCTAAAATGCAGACCCTCTCAGTTGGCGTGAGCCGAAACTTTTGCATAATTCTTAACAGTTTTTGATATGGTATTTGATGAACCTTGTAATGTTATCTAATGTGCAACCGAACAAATTCTACATTTAAATGACTTACTAGCACATTCTTGAAAATTCATAGAAGAGAGAGAGGTACAAAAAAAATGAGACCATCGTCGACAAATTTCACACTGTTACCAATCGATATCACAATCTTCACTTGCTTGCAGAGGCTCGGTTCGAGAACAATGAATACAATATTCTTCCATTGACAAAGATGACTTTAATAAAAATTCTTGAACATAAACACGGTATATATCGGGATCAAAAGTACAATCGAAGAGAAAAGAACCTTTGTTAACAACTATATTTTGAATATAAGACATGACGAATATTCCGCAGTTGTACGCATCATTTTGCTTATTATGCTTCACCGTAGATAATTCCCATGAATCAGATGAAATACGTAAAGAATTTAAAACTGAGGTAAACAAAGTAAAACAACGCTGAGCATATGCGTCTGAAGAATTTGGGGAGCTGTTAAGTACGAGAAATCGTTTAGTTTTACCATCAGCAACGAACAACAACCAATGGTGGGAATCAATAATAGGGATAAATATTATTTCTTCAAATAACAAATTGGTAAGATGAGTTAATGGGTTATGGGCCTGTACGCTAAAGT